TTATCTTTTTAAACAATACCTAATTGTATTACATTCCTCAGGTGAACATTCTAAGATTTCCGTGTCAACTAAGAACGTGTTCATTGAATGTACAGCGACGGACCTAAACAAGGCCAGTATTGTGTTAGACACAATTGTCTCCATGTTCTCTGAGTACTGCTCTGAGCCTTTCACGTGAGTTTTTGAGACATTTTCTTTGTGATTCGCTTTGTGTATCTTTATTTTTGGTTTTAATAAAATTCAAGTTCCCTACTTTTGTACGCCCCATCGGAAAATAGGATGAGTGATATTGTTATTATTATTTATTTATTTATATCAAATGGCAGGCGTCTTGATGGTTATCATTAGCCCTTTAGTTGATTTCAGGCTTCACAGAGGGGAGGAGGAACATCAAATTGAAAAAGTCGAGAGGGGGGGGGGAGGGAAGAGAAGAGTGTTTCAAAGATGTAAGAGACAAACACAAAGGTAGATAAAAGGTGAGGTGAGTACTGTGAAAATCGTCGAATATGGCATAGAGTGAGGTGGTGGTATTTTGAGGTGAGAAGTCAACTGCCGGTTAATAGACTCTTTTTGCCGTATGAATATACGTTGCCCAGTGTGCACTACGTGGAGGTAAGTCTATCGCACACCCCTTATTATTATTATTATTGTTATTAACTTCATAATACCATGAATAAAGTTTTATGTTCTGCCTTTCATTTTCAGAGCTGAACAAGTTGAAATTGTAAGCTGGGATGGTAGTCATACTTTTTATCCTGTAAGTTTTCCATCACACTTAGACGAATACCACCTCTCCAATCAATATTTCTTTCTTTCTCATTTTCCTTTCTTTCTTATAGCGTCTGCAACAGCGAACCATGATGGTTAGTGTCGATTATCTCAACAGCGTAGCTGGCACCAATTGCAGCGGGGAGCAAATAACTGAACTCCTCACTCAAATGAGTCTCACTAGCAGTATTGCAGATACGGGTGTCACCATCTCACCCGATAAAGCTTTCGGTATGCATTCTTGGTTTTTCTCTCTCAATCTTGTCATGTTGAAGACCTTAAAACGCGTTTTCACAAGGCACCATTCGACGATTATCACCTCCTAAGTTTTAGTTTTTAATCTAATCTGGAATGCCGCGGTGATTATATTGTCCGTCTTCAGGAATGTATTTCTAAGTGAAAGGTTTTTTGCAATATTTGTCACCAAGGTGTCTAGTGATCGGGCGCCATTAGAATTTTCATGGTTGGTTGCCTTGACTATCGATAGCTGCAGAACTTCGAACTTAATGGCCTAGCAGATTTCTGCCTTATAGTGTGCTCGAGTTTATGACTTAAATTGTTTGTTTTATGTCTTAGGAACAGGGTGTGCATTGTCGGTTTGTGTTCCACCAACACGGCACGATGTTCTGCACGCTTGTGATATTGCCGAAGATTTGGCCATCGCATACGGCTACAATAATATCGAGGAGAAACTGCCTACCACCTTCACTATGGCTGAAGAGGAGCCACTCAATCGCCTCACCGATATGGTTCGAAATGAAATCGCTCTCTGTGGATTCACGGAGGCGCTCACTTTCTCCTTGGTGAGTTACGGACGCAAAATTTGTCCCCCCCC